CAGGTCTGAGACCTGGGTCTTAGTAGCAAAGAATCTGGCCAACCCAGGCTAAATGCAAGACTGGAAAACTGACGATTTTTGTGTTTCCAGCCTATGTGGTGCAGATGAAGGAAGCAAGGACTTCGGGCCGTCAGACCACAGTGCTTTCTAGAACCATTGCTGGACCCTCTTATGTTTCCTCCATGTCTCAGCCTCTGTTTAAATTTCCATTGTTTTACTTCTTGCTGAAGTCTGGTAAATTCACTAAGATCTATATTTACTTTCTGAGATTGTTATTTAGTTTTGTCTAGTTTATGTTTTTAAAATTGATTGATGAACTTTTAATTTTAGTGATACTTTTGCTATTTCTAGAAGTCCAATTTTCTCACACTCTTTTGTTATGGTTTCTATATGTTTTGTATCTTTCAGTCCTTTCTTATTTTTGTGGAAAGGGGAATGTCTTTTTCTCGTTCTGATTCCAAGATAACGGAGAGATGAGGGTTCTTTCCTCTCAGGATTTCTCTCCTTCTGAAAATACAATTTACTTGATTGCAAACTGGAGAGAAACATCTGGGATGCTTGGGTCATCTCTGTCCTGTATGCTCTTGAAAGTAAGCTTCCCACACAGTGAGATGCTCATTGACCTGTGGCTCTTCAGGAACAAGCTCACCACATCAAATACCCCAGAACCACCTGCGACTGGATGAGTAGCGTCTGCTTAATTCTGGGGTGCAGTAGTGGGACGCACACCTGCCACAGGTTCAAACCACATCCTCCAGCTTAGATGTGTGCAATGGTTTGTTGAAGGAATTATTTTAGACTTTGCCATTTTGAATTCTCTCTCCCTCAATTCTCTGTCTAGAACATAGTTGGGGAACACTTCAAAGAGCTCAAACTTACTTTATAGTTTCTTATTTTATATGTATTTGCTATTATCTTAAGTGTCTGAAGAACTAATACTCTTTGCTGCTGATTTACTGGAGGTGGAAGGTTGTCCCCTACGTTTATAAAACTTCTCAATGTATGCTCATCCAGTTGGAGTCTGTGAGGCATGGGAAACTCATGTGTCCCCAAGTCCAGACTGATGCTGTATATGCGTCTGTCAGGTGTTTGAAGGACAGGACTTGCCGGGGGCCAAGTTCTGTGGTAATTTCACACCCCTGGGTCTCCCCACTGTTAGTAACAGAATTTGGCTGGGCTTTGGTTTCTCTTAGATTTCCTTTTCTTCCACTGGGAACACTAGAGTCAAACTTCCTCGCTGTGTCCCTCAACAAAGTTTACAAGATCCTGAGAACCAAATATCCCTAAAAGGCCTACAAAACCTCCATGAGAAACAGCTAATGACACCTGTCTTAGCAGTGCTGTAGACTGAGTTACTCCTCCTTGTCCACCAGGTTCCCTTGACCTGGGTGATGTTCATATTGGTCTGTTTCTCCATCCATTATTTGTAGATTCCCTATCTGTTCCCGAAAGTATCCTTCTCAAAGTTAATCAGAAGCCTTCTTGTCAGCATCTTGTGTCTCTGAAGATGTCTGTGACCCATCATCCTCTAACAATAGTAGTCTCTAGCCTGTAAGAAACTCACCTCCTCTTATATAAGGCCCACCTTTTTTTATAAAAAATATTTATTTTATTTATTTAGAAGTCAGAGTTACACAGAGAGAAAAGGAGAGGCAGAGAGAGAGAGAGAGAGAGAGAGAGAGAGAGAGAGAGAGAGGTCTTCCATCCACTGGTTCACTCCCCATTTGGCCACAACGACCAGAACTGAGCCAATTAGGAGCCAGGAGCTTCTTCTGGGTCTCCCACGTGGGTGCAGGGGCCCAAAAACTTGGGCCATTGTCCACTGCTTTCCCAGGCCATAGCAGAGAGCTGGATGGGAAGTGGAGCAGCCAGGTCTTGAACCGGCGCCTATATGGGATGCTGGCACTGCAGGTGGCAGCTTTACCCACTATGCCACAGCGCCGGCCCCAATTAGGGCCCAAACCGACACATGGTCACTATAAGATGGTCGATGAAAAATTACTGCCATGAAATACTTAAATTTTGACTAGAATTTGACCATTGTGGAACACTTTCCGTGACACATTAGTAGTCACTAGGCTTGTGTCTCCCAGGCTAGGTCATTCATATTCTGCTCTGAACGTAAGGTTTATACCTTATAAGCATTTTTACAGAAGCTGTTTATTTCCATCAACCACCCTCTTTAATGGGGACTGCATCATTTCAAAGGTTCTGGCTTCTTGCAGGGGTCTTGGGGCTATGTCTGCACCCAACCAGGCTTCCTGCTTCTGATTCTATCCCAGCAAGGTGGCTAACTTACAAGTCCCTCCTCTTAAGATAAGGGACTCATCTCTGCTACTTTTCCTCTAGAGAACAAGATTCCCTCACTGTGAGGTGCCCTCTGCTTAGAATCCATTTTATCTGTAATGCAAATTTTTTTCTGAAATGTCTGCATGCATGTATTTTAACTGAAATCCTGCTACTGCCCATTTGTGGTGCTGCCTTTTCAGGTTCTAGTGTCATGAGTTATGCTGATATTCGGAAAGTGAGTTTGAAAATATTCTCCATACACTGATGACCTGAGACAACCAGCCTGCTTGAACTTGCCCTAGTCCTTCACCCAGGCATTGCACTCAGCAGGGCAGGCCACAGTCCTCATCTTCAGAGCAGGGGATGGAAAGAAGAGTAAATGGAACAGTGCACTTTATCATGTAAAATATTTCAGTCCCACTTAGGAGTTCAAATTACTTCTTAAAGCAAGATTATTTGGTATTTAAAAGTAAGGAAACATTTATCTAATGAAATTAACTGATCCTGGACATTTCTGAGGAAATTTTTGTTAACTATTTTAAGTATTTTTTCAATAATTCTTATTTTTTTACTTCTGCAATTCTAGTTCATATTTCCTAAGAAAATCATGTTTTGGGGCCAGCACTGTGGCATAGTGGGTAAAGCTGCCACTTGCAGTGCTGGCATCCCATATGGGTGCTTGTTTGATTCCTGGCTTGTTCCACTTCCCATCCAGCTCTCTGCTATGGCCTTGGAAAGCAGTAGAAGATGGCCCAAGTCCTTGGGCCCCTGCATCTGCATGGGAGACGCAGAAGGAACTCCTGGCTCCTAGCTTCGGATTGGCCCAGCTACGGCTGTTGCGGCCGTAGGTGGAGTGAACCAGCAGAATGAAAGACCTCTTTCTCTCTCTTTCACCCCTCATTTGGAATTTATTCAGCCTGACTTATACTGTCAGTTACATTCCCTGCTTAACATAAAAAATATTATTGTTCTGTTTCTCCATGGCAAAATTTCAAAGTTGCTGTTGAGTCCTAAGGTGAGAATTTTCAATATGTGCTCACTTTGCTGAACCACTTCCCCATCACGATAAGCAATTTTACATTTCTTCATTTTTTTACTGTTTTGGACATTTTCTTTGCTTTATATTTTTACGACAACTTCACAGCATGGTTTTAAAAGGCATTCCTCTCATAATTTCTCATTTTATTGCATTTTTTTATGACTGCTATTTTGCTGTAGGCCTATGGGGCATGGTGTAGGTGGTTGTGTGTGTAGTTTCTAGAGAAGGTACTATTTCTTACATCCCAGGGTCAAGTGCACCTGCCCCACTCACTTCCACTGATTGCTTGCATTATTTGTTCTATCGTTAGGAACTGCAATCATTGAACACCTGAAAAAAAAAAAAAGATAATGGCCTTTGGTAGGGTTACGGCCATTTCAGAAAGCAGTTTTCTCAGAGTTCTGTGGCTGCCCACTTCCTGGTAGGCAAAGATTCCAAGTTCCTAGGTTCATAATGAACAGGAATAGAAATCAACTTTCTTCCTGCTACTCTTGTAAAGCAGGTCATTTTTACACCCAGCCCTTCCTACTGTGAGTAGCACATGGCACTCAACAGTGCTTATTAAGTGAATGAATACATTAATAGCATGTCAGTCTTACCTGAAACATATCTAGCATAACAAAGGGGCTGTAAAAACTTCATGGAAAACGCAGATTTTGAAAAATTTTTGCATGGTTTTAAAAAAACTTTTTTGGCATCAAAATAAACATCTTTTAATTCATTTACCACTTTTTGAAGGACCCTCATATCTACAACTCTGCATTCCATCTTCCTGCTCTAGCCAAGGCCCTTCAGTTCTCCCTCTACACCACTGATTTTTGTCGCTTTCACAAAAAAGATCTGATCATGAGCATACCTTTCTTAAAAAGAGGAGTCACTTCAATTACTTTTCTAGCTTTATCTCCAGTTTTATAAAAACAGCCCCGAGCCTGGTCCCTAAACAGGCCCCTCACATTCACATTTCTTTACTTGTCCAATCCTTTGCCTCATGCTTCCAAGTTCCTTTCCTGCTCACACATCTTACGAAAGCTCTCTCCTGAAACCCTTAAACTCGCTTCTTTTCTGACCTCCTGGCTCCACAGCAGGAATTTCTCCCTTACTCTGTCCCTACAGTTTTTTACAAGTAATTTACAGGTTAGTACATGAATCATACTTCAGTTGTTTACCTGCACTTCAGATTAGGAATTCCTTAAACAGCAATTATTCAACTTTTCATACCGAATTGTTCAGTACTTACTAGTACTAAATGCCTTATCACCTAAACAGGTGCTCAAAAGGCATACATTGTTTCTAATATTAGACAGTATATCTCTCTGCATTAAACTGGAGTCCTAATCCCTACAAAAAATGTTTGACTTAGTAACAGAATCTCTCCCTAGAGAAGTGCCCCAAACAATTCATCTTGCATTCATTATGTCCAGAGTGCTCATAGACCCCAATAATCAAATTTTATCTCCTTCACTTAGTTCCTGGAAACTGAATTTCTTTTCTCACAAGATAGAAAACCTGCCATAGCAGGAGACCAGCCTATTGCCTACACAAAATCAAATTCTAATAATAGCTCCTACACATAGCATATTTAAGCTCAGGACTCAAATTCCAAGTTTTTAAAATGTAAATACATATCTTCTTTGCTAAGTTGTTTTAATACAAATTGATAAGGTACCTAGTGTTACATGGCCATCACATTTATTTTTAATCACAACTTCTGTCATGTAACTAGCATGGAATCTCTTGTCACCATTCAATGGAGGCATTCCAATAGTCATTTGCCACTTGCAAACAGAACAAAATAGCATTCATAATTAATTAAAATATTGCATATAGGGACTGTTTCTAAGATTCAAATTCTTTAAAGAATGTTTCATGTAAGTCTTTTTGCATTCAACATTTTATGTTAAGTGTTCTGTTTTATACTGTTTATACTGAGACTGTTGGGTTTCTTTTCACAAGTCTGTTAATAGATTCATGACACTCAGGTGTTCAAAATTCACTTTATTTCCATTTTTCTGTATTATAAACTTTGTGTAAACATACCCAACAGACTGCCTGATACATGACACTCAATAATGGCCATTAGCTTTAGGATCTAAAATGAATTTAAAACTACTACCTCCCAGTCTCAACCCATATTAACTGATAAACCAATACAGTGAAAAACAGCCTTCACAGTTTTCCCTAGACATGTAATGCAAGATGCAGTATAGCCATATTCCATGAACTGTGATTTCCAGTAGGGAGACTGTAGCCCTACTGAGTCCAATAAAAATATCACAACTAAAAGCCTCATATAGCTGGATCTCTCTTCTTAATTGCTAACGTGTAGAGTTTGAGAAACAAGGTTGTCTCTTGTGCTTTCCTACTTTTTGAGGACATATACTCTTAAATATAGATGACACACACAAAAAACTCTACTAATTTAAGAGTTTTAAGAATATTTTCTCTATAGACCATTTTCTTCCCAACTGAGATGGGAGGTCCCAGCCTTTGGTATAAATGACTCATTCCCACGATAATGTTTCAAGGACAGTAGTGCTCACTGTCATTTTGGTAAAGGAGTGGCTAGCGCCTCTTTACTCTCAGTAAGTGCTCTGGGCTGATGGATGAACACACTAAATTTAACACCCTGGTTGTTGGCAGCTCTGACAAAACCACTATTGGCAGTCATTGTAATGGCTTTTAGGGTGTCTCCCGTCCCAAATATTGTTAATGAGCGGCTATTAATTTTTGAACTGGCCACTAGTTTCAAGGCACGCTCAGAAGGCTGGTCTGGCACCACATTGATTTGCTTAATTAGCATAGTGGCCCTCTCTCTCTCCCCAGGTCCTCCTAAAGTATCTAAAATAGACTGAAAATCCTTGACGGCAGATTCACAAGCAAACAACTCCTTGTCCTTCATAAATGCCTCCAGTTGAGGCAGAACCTGCTCCTTCCTCTCCTGCTCCGCTTGTTCTGTGAGCACTTTTTCTTTGAAGATAAAGTGGCAACCTCCATAGCTAAGGGCAGACACATAGGTGATTAAAGTAGTAATGTCCAGATTTACTCTTTTGCACACATCCACCTTAATTTCTGTTGGAAACGCAATACTTGCAAGTATATTTTCTCGGTCTACTCTGGTCACTTGTAAAAGTTCAGGCCCCTCGTCATCTGACTCACTCTCACTCAGGTGGAGCTCTTCTGGGTGATCCAACAGAGAGTTGACAGCTACTATGTCTCCTCTCACAGAAATGCCCATTTCTTTCAGCTTCTCTGCCATGGGGCTGGAGACGCTGTTGTAAAACGCAAAGATGATGTGAGGGTTGCTGTACTGCACCGGCTGCTGGTGGCTGGCTTGCAGGAAGTCTTCCGCCTGCTCAATGATGCTTTTGTCACCATACTGGCCCCTGCCCAGCCAGATGTTATGAAGAGCTTCGGCCTTTCTGCCAATGGCTTTCACCCAAGTATGGCCACCGTTTGCAACTACATCCACCACAAGGGTTTGCTTTTCTCCCAAAGGATCTGTGTAGCCAAAGACATGAAGAACACTAACGACTTCTTCTAGGTTTTCTGCGGAGTCCACAATGGCTCTCAGGTGGGTTAGATTGGTGCTCTGCAAATGGGACTCTTTAATAGCTACTTTGCCAGCTTCTACTTTCTGTAGGAATTTTAACTCGGCCTTCAACTTGCTGCACAGCTTTGCACCACCTTCTATGCCCCCTTTTCTTGATCGAGAAAGTGATTCTGCTCTCTTGATCAGTTCCTTGGCTATGGCGATTCGTTCACACAGCATGGAGTGCGCAGACATGCTGACAGCATTATTCCTTCCCTGTGAAAACAAAGAAGGCACATGGAACACGGCTCCAAAACGATGAGACTCCAATTCTGCCCTGAGGATCAAAAATTCCAACCTCACAGCAAAGCTTATGGAGGCGTCGTCCGTGAACTTGGCCTTCTGTCTGTCTGATTCTGGAGTGACTCCCTCCTGACTGACAGCTACACTTGGAAGTTTTCTTCAGGCTCGCTGCGCACACGTTAGGCCGTGGCTATGCGGTCCACGGCATGTCCTAAGTTAAGGGACAGTGCAGGAGTTGGGCAATCTTCTCTGCGAGGAATTCGCTTTTGTCTAAGAGTTTCCTAGCAGAGAAATTTTACAAAGGTTTAGGAACTCATTTCAAAATGTTTAAAATAATAAGCTGGTCAGCAGACTTGCAAAGCAGGAGTCTCCGCCGAACTGCCCGCACTTGGCCTCGCTCACCTCCTCCTCCTGGATGGGTCTCCTTCAACCGACTGCCCTCGGCGCTCAGGTACTTACGCCAGAGAATCAAGCCTGCCGAATTTCTGCATCTGACGTCAATCCGGCATGTCAAGACCGAAAGAGACCACCAACTTGCCTCCCGCTCCCACTCCGAAGGAAAACCCTCCCACTGACTACCCCAAGGGTGCGCCCCGCAGCGGCCGGGCAGGCGAGGTGGGCGGGACACGCGGCGGCGGGGTCGTGCGGCGCGCAGTGGGTCCTCGGGCCCTTCCCGTCCACCTGCACAGCGGGTCCACGTCAGACTGGCCCTCTGCTGGCGCCGGGACTCAGAAGTCAGGCGCGGACTGCGCGCGGCCGAGCCCTCCCCCAAAGCCGGCCCGGCTCAGTCCTCTCCGGTGTCAGAAGGGGCGCCCAGCTCCCTGACACCCCACGGTCCACCCCAGCTCCTCACCGGCAGTGCTCAGGACCGCGAGCGCGAGCTGGCGGACGCGTGCACGCGGGGGCCGGATCCGCCGAGAAACCTCACCCGGCAGCCCCCACCTCACTCAGCGCCGAAGAGCTCCGCCCGCGCGATCCCATAGCCTGGGGCACGTCCTGCGTCACGCGGTTCCGGGCCGGGTGACGCCGAGCCCGCTATTCCCAGGCGGCAGCGCGGCCTCCCAAGCGGGGCTGACGCTAGCACGGCGGCCATGTTTGTTGAGGGCACCCGGGTTCGGCCAGTGGCGCCGCGGGACGCGCCTGCGGGAGCCCCGCGCGCACCTGGCGGTAGGGAAGGAGCAGGAGCGGCGCTGGCCGCTGGATGTCACACTCGTTAGCAGAAGAGGAAACGTGTAGGACGGGCCTGCCGAAGTCGAGACAGCTGTTGGGCGCTGCACTGGGACACTTTGCCCTGCACCCTCCTGGGCTCTGTAGCTGCTGTTACAGAAATGTGCTGCCCACGGGACCGATTGGGTGCCCTCTAAGGGCGGGAGTATTTCTATTAGCCTAGTAGTCCAGTCACCCAGAAAGGCCAGGGCTTTGAGAAAGTGAAGACAATGTTAAGAATTGAGGGGCTTTCAGTGAAAACTAATCCTGCCTATCGTGCTCCTTCTCCAATCCTTAAACGACGGTAAAGGAATGAGCAACCGAATAAACCCACAAAGACGGAGAGACCAGGAGGTGACCAGCGGCAGACACACTAAGGCATCTTTAGAAGACGAGAGCATTAACTTCAGTGCTTGCCATGTGGCAGGCTTTGTTCCGTGTGTTTTACACGTTACTCAGCTTTCTTAACCCGAAGGGTGCATGTATTGTACAGGTCCGGAGAGAGGTTCCTTGAACCCGGCAGCCTCTCTGAAAACGCATCAGCAGAGCTGAGAGAACAGCCCGCAGAAGGCGACACTGAGCCAGTGACCCACAGAGAACCAGGAAAGGCTTTGGAACTTCAGGAAGCGGGCAGGCAGCAGTGAGGGGAGGCGGGGTGTAACTGGGGGTAGCTTGTGTGTGTGTAAGGACCCGGGTCCTCGCTTCTATCCCTTGAAGCTGGCTATTCCTCATCCTTCCCCAGGAACACTCGAGATAGGACATTAGAGGGATTCCAGACTCCAAGCCTCCCAAAAGTTGCAAGAGATGCCATTGCAAATGAAGAACCAAAGTTTTCTCTCTGGTGAAACACCAGTGACTGCCCCACCAGAGTACTGGCACCCCGCTCCCACTCTCCCTTAAACCACTGTTTTTATCTGGAGAAACTGAGCAAGTGGAATAATCTAGAAAAATGTGACATTCAGCACTCCCTCGTAAGTAGATGCTGGCCTCACTCCTCAATATTTTTGTTGGATTTGAAGGAAACAGAAAGCCAAAAAAAATAATTTTTAAAAGTATTTCACAACTGGCACGTTGAATGGAAATTTATTTTAGCCAAGAAACAGGAAAAAAATGTTAAAGATTTATTTAATTTCAAAGAATTAGACAGAGGACAGAGAGAAATCGACCTTCTGTCCACTGGTTTAACACTCCAGATGGCCCCAAGGGCTGAAGCCAAGAGCTAAGAGCTTCATCCCGGTCTCCCATGTGCATTGCAGGGGCACAGACACTTGGACCATCTTCTGCAGTTTTCCCATTAGCAGGGGACTGGATTGTAAGTGGAACAGCAGGGACTCGAACTGGCATCCACAGGAAAGATGGATTCTAATTTTCTTGGGGGAGGGGGACTGCAAGCCTAGGGAGCTACCAGCTCCTCTACATTCTTGGGCAGTTCATGCAATTCAGTTTGCTTTCTGTACAAAGGGAGACTCAGAGTTTGCCTACATTGGCAAGAGTCACCCGATAAAGGTGAAGTAGGGAGCTGGTGGTTTTGTTCCATGAAAATGAATGATCAACAGAAATTTGCTTTGATGTTCCCTTATTAGTAATCAGTGCCCAAAGTGTCAGCATTCAGTAATTCTAAAACTCTGTTAAATGCAATCTCCTTTGATGTTCCCTTATACTCACTGATGTCAAAGTTATCAGCACTCGGTAACTGTAAAACGCTATATTAGTCCTTTTCCTTATTTTTCCTTTCCTTGCCAAGTTCCTCTTGTCCCCTGACCTCCCTACCACATGTATGTGAATTTTAAACATTTCCATGTTGAGTTTCTATTTGTTTTGAAAATTTAAGTTCATGCTTCAGCATGGAACTGGAAAAGAAAAAGGGCAGAACAAGTAGAGACAATTTTTTAGAGGTGGGAAGACAGAAACTGAATCCGAAGTAGGGAGCAAACTTAGCCATGCAAATGTAGCAGCAGCTTAACAGAGTACTTAACCATTACCACGCCAGGCCTCTTACCTCTATTACCAAATTTAGTGTTAGAAAACCCTCAGATAATTACCTTGGTCATTCAGCCAAGAAGTCAAAGAGTTGAGACCTGACCTCAAAACCATCCCTTTTTATTCTGTGTTTACTTGCTCATGTGCTAGTGTCACAGTGTAACAGGAGCCCATACAGAGATCATAATATGAAAGCTTCAAGACAAACATCTGTAAACAGGAGATCAAGGTGCCATCTCCCATCTCGTATAACACTTCTGCTACCTTTAACAATGTATGGGTGTTACAGAGAAGGTAGGCAGAATCCTGACAAAAGTGCTCCAAGATAAGGCTCCGTTCCCCTACACTTACCTAAATCTTAAGCAAAAATTTTAGAGCACATTTAAATCACTGAACTGCTTACTATCTCTTCACTCATGTGAGAATGATGACATTCATAAACTTTCCTAATATTCATTGAATCAGACTAACAACATTTCTTTTATCCTGAGAGACCTTAAAAAAAAAAAAAAATCCAGAGAAACAAAACTAAGCACTACGCCTTCAAGTATGCAAGTGGAGTTAGATAACCCAATATTTGCTAGTTTCAATTAACCTTATTTATGGAGGAGGTTTACATTTAGATTACATTATGGATTAATGAGGGAGAGGCTTAAGCAATAGTTTTGACACGTAAGTGTTCATATTTTATTTCCATTACTTATGGTCATCCTTAAAAAGATTTAGTACAATCTAGGGGGTTCCTTTTACATGTTTACCTACTTGTGATGGAGAAATCAATAGGAATCAGCAAACCACTATTTATTTACTTACAGAATGTATCTCCTACAGGGGACCTATTTGGCCTAGCATTGTTCATAGCTCCAGTACAATCTTACAGGTGAATCTCTTTCATACCTTCTGATGTATAAATAACCTAAGCCTCCTATCTCATGAATCCATGAAAGTCTGCAGACTCTCTCAGCTCTAGAAGCAGTGACATTGACCAGAATCAGCGCTTTGCTTTATGGAACATGAACAAAACCTGGTAGTAAAGAGGGCAGTCAGATTTGCGAAACTGCATGAGAAATAATAAGGGATTCCATCATTCTGCTTTGCAATGTAGTTTCTAGAAATTATCTGTGATAAAAAGCAGGCAATAACCAGGTTAAAATTTTACTAAATTCTAAAAAGCTGTAAGTTGGATTTAACAGTTTATTATGATTTATAAGTGTCATTTTAAAAACATCAGTCCATTAAACCATGTAGAAATAAGTATGCAAAAAGTCTGCAAAACAAAACATACTTTAAACATGTTTAAGTAGATCAATTATCTGCAATTTCCCATTGCTCAGTCATTTCATTATTATGCTATGGCAGCCAAGTAATCCTTAACCTCAGTTGGGGTAAGCCTCCTAAATCCAGCTTCATTGCAGATTCCAACTTCTATGTTATCCTCTGTCATTTGGCCTTCAAAGCTTTCCTATTGAAGAATGAGGAAAAGGGGTTATTTTCCAAGTAGTCAATTATGAAATCATTATAAATCCTTTGTTAGTTACTAAGCCAACCTTTAGGGTTAAGATGGCTGTATGAATGGCATCTTCAAGTTCCAGATCTTCATTATATCTAAAGAATTTAAAAAACAAGCAATGATTATAGTACTATTTACATGCTTTATGACTACTTAAATACAAAGATAGAAATATCATTGATTTTTTTTAACCTACAGTTACACAGTGCTGCTTCTACTCTTCAACAAGTACAGACAGCATATATTTAATCTGCCTTCAATACACGTATTTGGTTTCACCAATTTTTCTTTTTACTGTAATAATATAAACTATTTATCATTAAATAAGTTAAAAATTTTCCTTCCCCAATTTTTTTATTTCAAATCCATGTTGTTTTTGAAATGTAGAAAAAATAAAGTAACCACCCCCCCTCACCAAATTTAGGAAACTGGCAAAAGAAATAGAAAGAAAAGTACTTAAGAAATGAATAGTATCACTTAATATACTGCATGCTAGAAATCCAGGTGAGAGTGAGGATTTCTGTCTCTTTCATCTGCAACTAGATTTCAACACACAGTGATGTGACAAATTTGTTTAGACACATGATGTTGTTTAAAGAGCGCTGAGAACTGTAAGGTCAGTTTCTAATGTGTCTAAGTTACAGTGAGCCCACCTTTTCTCAAGGAAAGTTTTCCCATTCACATAGTTCTTTCCCATTGCTGTGGCTTTCCAGGCAAAATAAGCTCCCTAATCACAAAGAGAAAAGATCATATTTTAAAACATTAATACCTATTTTTTATAAAGGTTATTAGCAGTAGGGATAAGAGAGGCATGAAGCAACTTTTGGGGATTATGGATAAGTCCGGTATCTTGGCTTCCTTAGGTATTTACACATATCAGAACTTACCAAGCTGATGATGAGTTATTGATTATGCAATTTACTGTATATAAATTATGCAAAAAGGCCAAAGGACATGAGGTTAACTTAAAGCAAATAATCAAGAGTGGTATCTTTAGCTTATTATATAATCTAATGTGAAATGAGGGTACCAGCAATATGTTATATATAACATGGTTTCATCTGTTGAAAAATATGAAAAAAAATCCAAAGAAAAATATCAAATATATTTTAAATGAAATCAATTACTTTTCAGATACAACAAGGAAAAACAGAGCAAAAGGTGAAACAGGGTTCCAGAGATGGCGGTTCTGCTGCCCAGTGGACAAAAGGGTTCAGGGTCTCTCATTCCACCTCAGAAGCTCAGAGATGAGGTGAGGACACTTGCACTGAGTGAATTTGCAGCTTAGCTTTTAATTTTAAGTCTCCATGAACTTTGAGGCACCCTCTGTGCACCCCCTGTTATCCTCTAGTTATATAGTATATCTATTTATATAGTATACTATATCTTCTAGTGCAAACACCAACATCCCATTGTAGAGCAAATGAATATATGCTAGCTTATAATTTCTAAAGCCCAAATGAAAAACAAAAAGAAAATACTGCTAAATTTTAAAGTTCTTATGACTTCTATATTATTCAAAGAGAACTTTTAATAAATCCCTCCAATACACTAATGATACTTACAGACGGATCTGACTGAAATAAATATGGTCGCCCCTCATTCCAACCACAAATAAGTAAAGAAACTCCAAACGGACGAACACCACTGCAGAAAGGAAAATGCAAATTACTCGGCTTTGTCAAGGTGTTCCAGCTTAAATAACAAATCAGTACTCACACGGAAGGCAAATTACCAGGTCAACTAGATTAGAAAGTTCTTTAAGAGGGATTTAACACCTTTCTGAGTGAATCAATTAAAAATACATTCTCTTTATGATAGTGAGGATTAGGGGCTGGCATTGTGGTAAGGTGGATTAAGTCACCGCCTGTGATGCCAGAATCCCATGTGAGTACCAGTTTGAGTCTTGGTTGTTCTACTTCCTATCCAGCTGCCTGCCAATGCACCTGGGAAAGCAGCAGAAGATGGGCTAGGTGCTTGGGATCCTGCTGCCCACGTGAGAGACCCGGATGGAGTTCCAGGTTCTTGGCTTCAGCCTCACCCAACACTGGTCATTGTGGCCATTTGGGGAGTAGTCTAGTTATGGAAGAGCTCTCTTTCCCTCTCTGTAACTCTATCTTTCAAATAAATAAACAAATCTTAGTAATAATAATTTTATATTAAAGGATACAATACCTAATACAGGTAACTGTGTTGTAACATTTACAGTCCTAATGAAATGATAACATTCAACAAATGCAGCTTACCTATCAACAACCACCTTACACTATCCCATGCACAAACTGATGAACTCTGGAATTAAATGAACACATTGTGTTCAGAGCTCCTGCTTTCCTCACGGGCCTGGAGAGGTGAAGGTGGACGTACCGATGGCTGCCTGCCCGTGAGGACATGCTTTACACACCTGCCAAAAGCCTTTCTACCGTTATATGAACAAAAAAATTTCACTTTTTTCCAAAATAAAATATTCTAGCTTTTTGTGTGAAAGACGTTCTGCAAAGGAAGCAAGCCTCCTTTTATTTAAACATCTATCCCTTTTTCTTTTCTCCCCTAATGCATGCCCCATTCAGGTATAAAAGCCACTTACCCCGACTGGGTGTACTCCTGCATCACAGAAGCTACTCTCTGCACCAGCTGGGCTGTGGGAATGGGTTCCTGGTAAACGAGATAGTACTGCTGGGCTAGCTTCCGAGCTCTGTGCACAAGCACTCTAGTGAGGAAGAAGTAAGATTTACTTAGAAGGGAGACACTCTGTGACCTAAAGACTCACTGTCCTCCCACAGGTGTACCGCTATAGCGGAAGTTTCAACATGTATCTGCTCAATAATATTAGCTCAAAGGCAGTTCTGCTCTTACATCTGATGCTTAGGTGATTTAGAAGAACATGATCAGAGTATCACAGAAGAGTTGAGTTAACAGGCAAGAACAGGGCAAACAGAGAAAGAGAATGAGGGCCGGGCACCAGTTGGCTTAGCAGTAACACTTAATGAAAAAATAAGAGCTTCACCTCCCTTCTTGGATTCTTCAAGATGGTCCCCTCAACACGAGGGCAGCCACCATTTTATACCTCACCCCAGCCAACAATGCACACGTGAACATGAAAACACATACACTCACATACTGTGTGCATGTCCTTGCTCTGCCCAAATCTCTTCTGCAGACTGTCATAATCTCTCCCTACACTTCAAAGACTACCCTTCAGAGACTAAGAAACAGTAAGAAGCTGTAAGTTTAAAGCAAAAATTTGTCAAAAGATATCAAGAATATACCATATAGCAAGTAAGTAGTAAGACAAATAGAATTTATCTTTACCTGCTTATGTACTACTATTCTGAAACCTGCACATATCCCTCTGGATGATACTCATGTCCAAACCACTTCAGCTTTCCCTGTCAGTGGCAGCACACTGCAGTATCCCTTGTATAAAATTCTATCAGGATCTCCTGCCACTGAAGCCTCATCACTTCCCAGTGACCTTGCTGCTCTCTCTGACTCACTAAAGTGAAACTCTGACTCTAGCCACACTCACAAAATCAGGAGTAACAAAGCATATCCCCTTTACTAGTTAAATGACAAAGAAAGCTGTCAACCTCTTTCAAAATGCTAATACAATTTCAGTTGCTGATACAATCCCTGATGTTACAGGATTATTATGTCTCTTCCTGTGAAATAGAAAGGGAGTGACTATAGGAGCATCAAGGTCCCTCGTTACCACACTCAGCAATGTTCAGTAGCCTTTAAGAATTCTGTTCCTTGGCTAAGAACAGAAATAAAGATAAAGTAACAAGGTTAACTCTAGATAGTGATGATGCGTCTTTTTTTTTTTCTTTATTTGGCTTTTGTGGTTTTTTTTTTGCTTCCTGACACTTTAAAAATATAGTTTATTGTAACACGTATTGCTTTTATCACTTTTTTTTTTTTTTTGGACAGGCAGAGTTAGACAGTGAGAGAGAGACAGAAAAGTCTTCCTTCTGTTGGTTCAGCCCCTAAATGGCCGCTACGGCTGGCGCGCTGCGCCAATCCGAAGCCAGGTGCTTCCTCCTGGTCTCCCATGCGAGTGCAGGGCCCAAGCACTTGGGCCATCCTCCATTGCCTTCCCGGGCCACAGCAGAGAGCTGGACTGGAAGAGGAGCAACTGGGACACAATCCAGCGCCCCGACCAGGACTAGAACCCAGAATGCCAGCGCCGCAGGCAGAGGATTAGCCTAGTGAGCTGCGTCGCCAGCCGCTTTTATCACTTTAAATAAAGTACATTAGAAAGCTCCCAGTTCATGGATAGTAGAGGATGATAGTCAGAAGGGAAGGTCCACTAAACAAAGATTCTTTCTTTCAACTGATTTATCCTCCTGAAAGTGACCCCCACAGATGAACTAAACTTAGCTGTCAATGAGGTAGCTGTGGCTAAACAAGCAAAAATAAACAAAAAAATAAAAAAGAGCTGGAACCGTAAAAGTAAGTATCCCTTATTTGTCTCCTCTAAGGTATAGTTTGCAATCCATTATGACTTGGTGAGACAAACTCTAAGTTGTATGAAGTACCTGTAATCTGGGCCCATGCCACTATACACCAAACCTATATGCTTGGTGATTGGCTCCACTTTGTGTACACTTCGTTCATCATACAGAATGGATTTCTGTTTCTTCTCAGTTGCTAATACCACACCATTTGCAGCTTAAAAACAAAAAGACATAAATGTTTATATAATTGTTTAAAGACACTTTTGAGAATTCTCTAATCATTAATTAAACCCAAATACTTTTTCTTATTTCCTTTAATTTACAAAATATTTTCTTCTGGATTCCTACATAAAGGTTATCTAAGGAATAATAAATCAATTTTTCCCTAACTGGTAATTTATGCTAAATTAAAAAAAAAATCCCTACAGCTAAAAGCATTACACAATCTTTCTTGAAGCACTCTAGGATACTTCAGAATTTACATGTTTCAAAATAATGGATTTCTGTCTGCATGGTCTACTGTTCTTACAACAAAATTTAAAATAAACAACAGTTTTTGGGATATGAAACAACAGTATCTTTAGATTATGTTTTATAATTACCTTTCTAAATTACATTAAGAGTAAAAACTGCCAGGGCATTGATATCATTAGTGGAAAAACAAAACACTTGGTTTTATGAATGGCAAAGACTGTTTGTGAGTTATCACAACTAACAGATAAAGGTGCTACATCTACTTTGAAAAGAAACTTTAATCACCTCCTTAGGCTTATTACTATGTTCTTTAAACTTTAAAACATTGCAACAAAAAGAACTTTATGCTAAAATATGCTTCCACAGCTACTTATTTAAATTACTGATTAATTCCAAAATAATTTAGGATAACTGTTAACAGGCACCTGAAATGAATAAAGTATTTAATTACCTTTAATTCCCACTGAAGGGGCTCCTCCGGCTACAGCAGCCAAAGCGTATTCAATCTGGACAAGTTTACCAGAGGGGCTTAAAATGAAACACAGATAATTGTTAAATTCACATATTCTCAAATATTTATTGCAAGGACATCTCTGAGAGAGGGCAGATATATGGCTTAAAACTCATTAATGAAATCCCAATGAATAGCTAGCTTTTGAGGTCTAAGGTGAAGCTGTACAAAACATCCTCAGAGTGAAACGCTAATTTTGTGTTGTGTCTGCTGCTTACAGCAGCATCATTACTGTTGCCTCCTTTCACCAACTTATGACTCTCTGCAACACACTTTCTTAAACTTTCTCTATTTTCTCATCTGTAAGATGCGGACAATAAGACTATAGTAGTTACCTATTTCTGAGTGTTGTCATGATTAAGTAAAGTGATACCTAGGAAAGTTTCTGGCACAAAATAAGCATGAAGCAAACACTGAATACTCGTGTTATTAAGAAAATGGATGTGTCTGTTAAAAACCAAACAGTGGCATATATTTCATGTAGAGTTTTCAGGAAGCAGACATAATCTGAGATATAAGACATAGCTATCATTCACAAAGAAGTATATCCTCTATGTAATGGAAAACTACTTCTAGAAACCATTAGCTGGTTATAGTTAACAAATCTAGTTCTACAACTTTCATCATCAAATGCTAATCTCACACTGCTCTTTTGTTATAACATGGGGTTTTTAAAATGTTCATGGAAAATGCCTTTTGTGAAAAAACTACACATGGATTTCAAATTTTTTGCACCAAAATAAACTTTTAAATTTAGTTCCCTTTTCCATGAATTCTGAAGTACTCTTGTATTTTATTTTGATCTAGTTATAGTAAATATCACAAACATCTTATTTTATAAAGACAAGTCTATGGGTGAAAGTAATTTGTGCAAACTGACAAAGCCAGGTCCCTATCTCTTGTTTACTACTGAAAAGACAACCTTAAACCTCAGAAGACCATCTGCTTATCTTCACACAGTGATGAATACTCCCTTTGTCAACTCTGCTTCAGATACACAGCCACTTTTAAACTTCAAAATCCCCTTTGACAAGCTGATACTCTGAAACACACTGGTCTGCTGCTTGGTGAACTGGCCACCTTTCCATTCTTACTGGAAATGTCATGTCCTCAGGGAAGCTGCCCTGACCCTCTGATGCCTGAATTACCATGGACTCATGAGCATGGTGTCTGAGCTTCCTCTCTGGCTAAGACTCATATTTGAGTTGTTGTTATTATTATTATTTTACAGTATTTTTCTTCCTCAACAAAGTCAGGATTCCATTTCATAGCTTAGTACAGAAATCCACAATCGTTTGCCTGATAGAGACAAATCTAGACCAATGTAAGTTGAGTAGCTTAAATATGAGCTGACTTGAGTAGGTGAGCATCAAATGGACAAGCAAGTTAAAAAGTCAGATTGAAGAGCCAGCGCTGTGGCATAGCAGGTAGCCACCACCTGCAATGCCAGATCCAGTCCGGGCTGCTCCACTTCCCATCTAGCTCTCTGCCATGGCCTGGGAAAGCAGTTAAGATGGCCCAAGGCCTTGGGCCCCTGCACCCAAGTGGGAGACCCGAAGAAGCTCCTGGCTTTGGATCGGCACAGCTCTGGCTGTTGAGGCCATCCTGGGAGTGGGCCAGCGGGTGATGGGAGGACCTCTTTCTCTCTCTGCCTCTCTGTAGCTCTGCCTTTCAAATAAATAGACAATTAAAAAAAAAAAAAAAAAACAACATAGGTTGGGCTGGCACCATGGCTCACTAGGATAATCCTCTGCCTGCGGCACCAGCACCCCGGGTTCTAGTCCTGGTTGCTCCTCTTCCAGTCCAGCTATTTGCTGTGGCCCGGAAGGGCAGTGGAGGATGGCCTGAGTGCTTGGGCCCTGCACCCGCATGGGAGACCAGGAGGAAGCACCTGGCTCCTGGCTTCGGATCAGCGCAGTGCGCCGGCCATAGTGGCCACTTGGGGGGTGAACCAATGGAGAAAGGAAGACCTTTCTTTCTGTCTCTCTCCCTCTCTCTCACTGTCTAACTCTGCTTGTCAAAAAAAAAAAAAAAAAAAAGAAAGAAAGAAAGAAAAAAAATTAAAAAAAAAAAGAAAAAAAAAGTTAGGTTGAACTTTTTGTTTTCCTTCATTGGTCACTAGTTCAATAATTGTCTCAAGGCTTTCTGGGTCTGTCGAACTTCCAATTCCTGTTCTATACCTAGTCACATACCTCTGGGGAACACTGAGACTCAGGAAAACAGTACTTTTCTCCGTGCCCAGACTGCACGTATCTCTACCACCGATTTTTCCTGTTTGAACTACCACCAACCTGTGAGCATGCCGAGCACCAAGCACCTCCGTATTCTGCAGTGCCACTACCCACCCAGCATCTCTTCTGGAGTTAGTGTAGTCTTCCACTAGTTTTCCCTCTTGCTCACCCTTACTTCCACCCTCCCCAACACCTACCGCTGTGCCATGTTACCCCACTTAATCCTGAAATAACTTCTTAGCTCACTTAAAGGACTCCTTACTCTGGCTCACAAAGCCCTGCATGACTGCCCCCACCCACTTTATCCCTTCTCCTACAAGAGTACTTGTACAAAATTCATGGAAAGTGGTATAGAGGAATGTTTTAGTGCAAGAGGTTTTGGCATAATGTAGTTTCTTGAACTTTCTGAAGACTTCTTGTATTTGCGCAAGGTAGCCATGTTCACAGGAGTACTTGTGAACAAAGGTGGTCCATTCTAACAAAGTGTAATCCTCTATATTTCAGGGACTGAATCTTTCATAACAAAGTTCTTGATTAAAGTAAACTTGCTTTTTTAACACGTCCAACCCTCTATCAGATAAAAGAAAAATCTGTTTCTAGTCTGTTGGCAATGAGAATTAAACCACTAATGATGAGTGACTTGAGACTACAGGATAAATGTTCTTGTGGGATGGATTCTGTTGAGGATATTGACAGTAACTCAGTATGCAAACTGCTACCTATGAATGAATTCTGAAGCTGGGAAGGAGCATGGGCTCCTAAAGGTATTGAAACTGGAGTAGGGTCAATGCGCTAGAATACAAGGGTACTTCAAAAAAGTTCAAGGGAAACATATATTGTTAAAAAAGCTACATGGACTTCAAATTTTCTTCACTAAAATAAATATTTTAATTCTACTTTCATATGAACTTCTGAAGCACTTTCATGTTGTCTTCCTAAAATCCAAAAATACCTTCTTTTTTTCTTTTATTTCAAGTGAGGATATGTGATAGTTTTGTAACCTGAATGAAATCAATTCTGCAATAAAAGTTCCTCATGACAGACTATGACAGGGCCAATTTTATCATCAGAAAGAACTGGGTTTAAGATGGCATTCAGTTACTTCTTGGTGACCTTAGACAAGTTATTTAATTTGCCAGAGCCATGGTTAGTTTGTCTGTAACATGTCAGGTTAACAATCATGTGTGGTAACGGAAGGAGACGGAATAGGTTAAGTTGCACCTAAACAGAAAGGACTCAACAAGTTAGATCCCACGGGCATCCGGGCACCACACAGGCCTACATTTGGACTAAGCGGGGCATTCCTCATCCCCCATCAAGTGGTTAAATCAGAACTCTCCTCTGGCCGACGTCTTCAATTCCTCCGTGTTGGTTTTCTTATCTGGGGACCACGGTTTACCTCCAGAGTATTTTGAAAAATTATACTTACTCCTTTAACTCCTTGTTAAGACAGCTTAACCCTTTTGGCAAATACATCCCCTCTCCCCCAAATAAAAAGTCGAATTGCAAACCGTAGCCTAGGGCTTTACGGCTTACAAAAACACGACAGAAACTCATTTTTCGGTCCTTCTCCGTCTGAAAGTGGCACTAAGGAAACCGAAAGTGGTTTCAAGACACTAGCGCCCGAGACTCTGACCTAACTGTAAAGCCGAGGCTTTCAAAAAAAGGGGAGTGGGGAGCAAGGAGGGCCCACAATGTGACCCAAATCTCAGTTTCAGGAGCTCCAGCATCAGGCCTACTTGGCCAGGAGGAAGTCCCAAGATCTGAAGGGGTCACCTGGAGACGGCTAATCAGTTCTTCTCCAGTGTCCGACGAGAAAGCCAATCTCTGGCCTAGGGCCTCACCGTCCCGCAGCCCAAAGTTCGCCCCGAACCCACAGGCCCGCGCTCCCGCCGCGCCCGGTACCGCTTCTCCAGGCCTGCGGCTGGCCCGTCAAATGACTTTGCAAAGCTACATTTCCAACTCCACAACTAGCTGGAACCTCTGGAAGCACCAAAACAGAGGCAAGAACGGACATCACGAACCTGCATGAGCTCCTACAACCTAGCTACGCGGAAGACCTTAAGGACCCTGCCTTACCTGAATGTAGTCAGCGAAAAGCTGTACCCGCGCTCCGCCATCTTTACCAGGAGAGCTTAAGCACATCCGTACACATGCGCGCTGAGGCCGGTTTCCCTTTATTTCCCCTCCACGCTCCTTTCCTTCTCTCTCTCTGATTGGAGAAGACGCAGAGCCGCGCCAGATGCATGCTGGGTGTCGTAGTTCTAGAAGCTCGGTTTGCACGGACACGACTCTGTGCGCATGCGTGACGTAGGGGCGGGCCCAAGCTAGGTAGTGGGTTCCGTTTTCCGGTGACGAAGATGGCGTCGCCCGTGCTGGTTGTGATGTTTCAGCAGCACCAGGCATTCCGGGTACTGTTCCGAAACTGGTGGGAGCAACTACAGCGGAAGCTTCAACTGGGCCACCCAGGCTTTCCTCGTGTGCCATGGGGTAGGTAAAGAAGGGCTTCGTGGGGAGGGAACCCCCCAGCCGCATGGTAGCCCGCATTCCTTATTCGTCCTTGGCCGGCGTTCGAATGTTCGTGTCTTTCACGTGACAGCAGTAGGCTGCTGTTTCTACGACCTTTGCAGAAAACAGAAAATTCCTCTACTTGCCCCACAGTTACACAGTTAACCAAGCGCTGTTACCATGTCAGAGGTAAACACCGCCGGACATTGCAGCACCGAAAATAGACTTTATTCCCTAATTGCTGAGCGTAGGGCGGGACTGAGCTCCATTCCGATTTGTGCGCGGGTGATTTGGGTGTTTTAAAGGGAAAACAAGGGAGGGCCGAGAGCGAGAGCTCAGTGGAGTTGGAGAAGCCAGGATACACAGGATACAGAGTGTTGGCCGGTGTATGTGTGTGTACACACGCATCAATGTGTGTGTGCTAAGTAAGCTTGCTCCATGTGCTTCTGGGGATATTCTTAGCAGTGATCTTACTGTCTCCACTTTTCTGTTGAAGAAGTATCCTGCTAATGCAGACCCTGGGAGGCAGAGGCGATGGTTTAAGTAATTGGGTTCTCGCCACCCACAGGGAGACTCGGATTGAGTTCCAGGCTCCCAGCTGCAGCCCGGGCCACGCCGGCATTTGGGGGGTGAACCAGTTGATGGGAGAGGTAGCTCGTTCTGTATCTAAAAGAAAGAAACGAAAACAAAAACCCAGGGTATGTTTAGGAGTACTTTGAAATATACTGAAAAGTTACTAGTCGAACAATACCCTATACCTGGTTCGGTTGTGTGAGTGCAGCCTGTTGAAATCCCTGCTTAGCATATACTAAGTTGATCCTCAGTATATGAAGGTAATTGAAAATGAAACGTGATAAAGGGCGGGATGGGAGAGGGAGTGAGAGAGGGGAGGGCCGCAGGAGGGAGGGAGGTTGGGGGGGGAAGCCACAACAATACACAAGTTGCATTTTATGTTCTACTTAAAACTATTGGTTGAACTCTGTAATTAATACACAATTACTCTTTGGTGTTTAATTAATGCTATAACTAATACTCAAATAGTATTTTACACTTTGTGTTTCTGTGTGGGAGCAAACTGTGGAAATCTTTACTTAATATATGCTAAATTGATCTTCTGTATATAAAAATAATTGAAAATCTTGATGTGAATGGAAGGGGAGAGGGGGTGGGAGAGGGGAGCGTTGTAGGTGGGAGGGAAGTTATGGGGGGGGGAGCTATTGTAATCCATAAGCTGTACTTTGGAAATTTATGTTCATTAAATAAAAATAAAAAAAAAAAGAGAGATACTGAAAAGGAATACCAGGAGAATTGTGACTTGAGGGGTCTACCGGGTTTTATGGTAAAGGAGCTAACCCTATTTGAATGTAATAATAAAAAGTTAATGAGTTATTTCAGTGCATTTATGGAATTTCAGTCTAAGATTTACGTGCACATTACTGCTCATCAAGTACAAGGTGGACACTTAACTAATTTTTCTGGTATTATTTAATTTTGGCACCTATCAGACTTTTATTCATGCTTACTACTAATTTCCTGAGTTTTGTGTTTCATGAAGTGAGAAACTCTTAATAGAATTGCCCTGATCTCATTTCAGCAGTTTCCATTAAAAATAAATTCTTTTTGTTTTGTAGGAGCTTTAGTGCAGATAGTCCCCAACTTAAGCTAGTTCCACGTTGGATTTCAGTAGAAATGGTATTTCAGATTTTGAATTTGGATCTTTTCCCAGCCTAGCAGTATGCAGTGTGATGCTCGTGGGGATGCAGCAGCAGTGAGCCACAGCTCAGTCAGCCTTGCAGGCTAAATTCTGTAGTATACTGTGTTGCTAAGTTACGTTATGTAGGTTAAGTGTATTAGGTGTGTGTTTGACTTATATTTTCAGCTTAGAATGGATTTATCAGGGTGTAACCCCATTTCAGGTTAAGGAGGATCTTTCTGTTTAGCTATTTATATTTTTGCAATCAATAAGAAATTTGCTTATTTTTAAAAAAATCCAAATGGTGGCATTGTCCACAAAAATTTAACAGGCTTATTTATAATTGTTAAAAGTTGAACTGCAAGCCGGCGCCGCGGCTCACTAGGCTAATCCTCCGCCTAGCGGCGCCGGCACACCGGGTTCTAGTCCCGGTCGGGGCGCCGGATTCTGTCCCGGTTGCCCCTCTTCCAGGCCAGCTCTCTGCTGTGGCCAGGGAGTGCAGTGGAGGATGGCCCAGGTGCTTGGGCCCTGCACCCCATGGGAGACTAGGAAAAGCACCTGGCTCCTGGCTCCTGCCATTGGATCAGCGCGGTGCGCCAGCCGCAGCGCGCCGGCTGCGGCGGCCATTGGAGGGTGAACCAACGGCAAAGGAAGACCTTTCTCTCTGTCTCTCTCTCTCACTGTCCACTCTGCCTGTCAAAAAAAAAAAAAAAAAAGTTGAACTGCTTGGTGGATGATGGCCCAAGTGCTTGGGCCCTGCACCCGTGTGGGAGACCAGGAGGAAGCACCTTACTCCTGGCTTCGGATCGGTGCAGCACACCGGCCGTAGTGGCCATTTGAGGGGGTGAACCAATGGAAGGAAGACCTTTCTTGCTGTCTGTCTCTCTCTCTCACTAACTCTGCCCGTCAAAAAAAAAAAAAAAAGTTGAACTGCTGAAACTTGTTCGCTGAAACATTGTCCCCGCATTTGTATTAAAAATTCACAAACAAAAATGAAAGTGGAGAAACTGCCAACATCTGATTTCTGTCCCCTTATATTTCCCATCGCAATCATATACTTAGGTACCTTTTCACCCTGTGGGGGGAAAAAAATCTAATGTTAAACTACCAATAGTAAGAAGAAAAGAAAATATTTTTTGAGAATGGAATGTTTCCCATCATAATGAATTCTTAAGCACATTTTCCATGTATGCTGCCTGCTAGCTGGATGTCTTGGCATGCATAGCACATAGTTTGGTGTCTTCAAAAAGGCCAACTAGATAGGCCTCACTTGCCTTCTGCAAAACAGCAACAGCAAGCTCTTAAAACGAAGATCTATCTAGAAATCCTGAGCAGTTTGTCAGGGGAGTTTGCGAATCAGCAGCTCAGTGGACTTCTGATAGTGTCTAATTTCACGGAATGCCACCGTACCTGACCTGTCATGATGATGTTTCTTCACCCCTCCAAGTAAAGGGTACACTGTTGTGAGTGGCTTTTGTAGGCGGTTGCTTCCCAGGTGCTTTATCAGCAGTTGATTTGTGGCAGAGCAGTCTGCTCTGTAGGAGCTGAGCCATGGAATACAGAGCTCTGTACTTACCCACTTCTCAGCTGGAGCTTGGCAAGCAGGAGGCAGTGCTGTCGTTGGAGCATTGGAGAGTGACTGCATTGTGGCAGTGTCTGCAAACACCATCATCTGTACATCTTGATAGCTGAGGTTTCCTATTAAATGTCTGCTGAAATTCAGCATTCTAAAATTATATGTCTACATGTGTGTCTGCTGACATATTACTGTTCATTGTTAAGAAGATTGAGATCCATAAGGAATCATTTAGGAGCTAGAAACTGATTCTGTATCTTCGTGTCTTATAGAACCAGCATTAGCAGTCCAGGGACCAACCATCTTTACAGAGCCAAAGGATACCAGTGAGAGTGAGAATTCCAGCCTTTTGGACAGTATCTTTTGGATGGCAGCTCCTAAAAACAGACGCACCATTGAAGTTAATCGGTGTAGGAGAAGAAATCCTCATAAGCTTATTAAAGTTAAGGTAATAAAAGATGTTGATTTTTGTGATTGTGCTTTTGCAGATTTCTACCATTGAATTTATTCATACAGCCTCTGGATAAGTTTCCCTGTTTGATTGATTATGAACTAGAAAGTTAAAATGTCAGCATTACTCCAGTAACTATTTCGGTACCATATTTGCCTCTTGTTAATATCTGTGTTTGTTGTTTTGAAGAATAATATAGACGTGTGTCCAGAATGTGGCCACCTGAAACAGAAGCACGTCCTTTGTGGCTATTGCTATGAGAAAGTGCGTAAGGAGACTGCAGCAATCAGACAACAGATAGGAAAACAAGAAGGAGGCCCTTTTAAGGCTCCTACGGTAGAGACTGTGGTGCTGTACACGGGGGAGACACCATCTGAAGAAGATCAGGGCAAGAGGATCATCGAACGGGACAGGAAGCGGCCATCCTGGTTCACCCAGAATTTACACTGAAGATGGTAAAAGGATAATGTCACAGCAGAACATTTCTCCTAAAAGAGAAAGACTTTGTTTATTTTAAAATCAGCAATATGGTTGGAAATATTCTTTAAGCAGTTTTGTGTGGAAAACCTTGAAAAATGTATCATGATGACTCAAAAGTATTTGTTTATACAAAGTCTCAGTGGATTAATATGTCTGTTGATGTTACAGTAAAAGGTTTTTAGTAAAGATAAAATTTCCAGAACAAAAATAAAACAGTTTAAAATTCACAGAGTTACTTGTTTTGCTTCTAGTTTTCTTTGTAGTTTTTCTTATACAAGAATATTTAGTGGGGCCAGCATTGTGGCATCACGCATTATGCCACCACTTGTGATGCTGGAATCCCATTATCCAGTCATAAGTTGACACCCCAGCTGTTCCATATCCAATCCAGCTCATTGCTAATGCACTTGAGGAAGTGGAGTGTGGCCCTAGTACCTGGTCACATGCCACCCATATAGGGGATCTAGATGAAGTTCCTGGCTCCTGGAGTTGACTGTAGCCCCAGCCATTTTGGGG